GATGATGGTAAAAGAGCCTATTATCCAGGGAGCTCTGGTGGCCTAGTGGCAAGACGCTGCACTACAATCCCAGAGTTACACGGTTCAAATCCACCAGATGCTCTGCTGGAGAAGGAGGGGGCAATCTCCTCCTGTACCAGTCAGATCTGATTTGACGGTACACGTAAAAATAATACAATAAAAATAAAAAAAAAGAACCTATTTTCCGACTAATGTTTGCTTTGGCAATAATGAACACAGTGTGAAGCAAGAGTTCAGCTGTCTGATGGTTAGCTTATGTGTCCTCTTAGTTGGCCATGATTCTCAGTTGTTTGACATGTATGTGATGATACAGTTGGGTAGTTAGGTGATAAGGTGGTTCTTCATTTTATGATCTGCTGTGGTCATCTTTTATTTTCTCATAACATTGGATTTTGCATATTCTGATCTTTGGAACCTAATCGTTTTAATAAGTAATGGAATTGGCATACTTTCTTTACCTCATACCAAGAAATTACAAAGTTTTTAGTCTGTCTATGGAAATTGCCTAGAAGAGCTGCCACCAAACTTTTCAGACCAATAAACCATTTTTATTATCCTTGATAACTGTTTTAACATTATTCTCAAACCTCCAATGCTTTTTTTCTTTCCTCTTTCAGCTAGATACAACTGGCCTCTATTTCTTTGAGAAAATGGAAGTAATCCAAGATAGTTGTTTAACAGCTCTGTCCAACAGCTTACTAATAATCACTTTTTTCCCTTGATTTTGAGAACGTTCTTGGTTCTTCCCCACCCCCCCCTTGGTTCTTTTTCTGTAATGATTTGTCTTCCTCATGTTCAGTAAAAGGCAGTTAGTTCTCTTCTTCTAGTATCCAGGGCTGTAACATTGAGAATCATCTTTGACTCTTGTCTTCTGGTCACATTCTACATCCAGCCCAGTGATCAGAATTGTGTGTTCTGCTTTCAGTACTTCTCTCGATTCTGACAACTTTTGTGCTGCTGCTGACATACTGATCCAAGTTATCATTACTTCTTCCTGGATTACTTTCATATAGTATCTGTCTGATCTTTCTTGTTTTACCCTTTCTCCCTAAGTCTTTTCTTTAAAACTTTCCTCAAAATAAAGTCAGAAGTCTTATTCTGCCTACAACACTTAAACTCATTGCCATTGAGTTATAACCTGCTCAGAGCTGACCCTCTGTTGAGTTTCCATGGCTGTAAATCTCCCAGGAAAAGACTTCCCTTCTTTCCTCCACAGAACCAATGGGGTGCATGCCTTTTGGATTAGCAATTCAATTCTTTACGGACTACACACCAAAACTCTGTCTATAAGACCCTGTGAAATCTTTTTATCTCAATACATACAACTTTTTGCTTTGCATCAATCACACTCTGGGGTGAAGGGGCGATGTTTTCTCCTCTGCAAATACTCACTGAATATGTTTTTGGGATATAGCAGAACAAAATATGTAAGCATTCCTACCCTCTTGGTGCTTATCATTGTAAATACAGAAAATGTTAAATAGTCTAATCGCTACAAAGATAAATAAAGCAACATAAATATTCAAAGATTTGTTTAATATTGGTTTGACCTTACAAAGTTGATAGTCTAATTGTAAAATTATAATACATACAGTTGGGCTTTCGTAGTATTTTCATATTATCTAAAGAAACAAGATTTTTCTGTTTGCATTTTTATTACTATAACTCAAACCCTGCCATTTATGAGTATATTTATTCCACTTCAACTGCTTTTACTTAGGACTTCAGAAATTATCAGTACACATTACCAGTAGTTCAAGGTTTGGTGGTTGATATGGAAGTTCGGAAAACCAGCATCAAAATTCCCAGCAACAGATACAATGAGGTAAGATTTGTCATGAAGGCATATCTTTTTATAGTTGAATATGTAAGTAACAGTGAAAATTATCATGTATAAATTTTTCTTTTAGTAATAAACAACAGAATTAATTTACAATATTATATGGTTAGTCTAATACTGGGGAAATTTCATTGCAAAAAGAGAAAACTTGTGATTTACTCAATCATTGGTTGTGCCATTGTTTGTACTTTTACATTTTTGGTGCTCCATAATCAATGATAACTATGCATTTTGATTAAGGTAGAAAATTAACATTACATCTGTAATAGTAATGGTGATTTTGAATTTTTTACCATGCTAACCTTTGTCCTTAATGTTTAATCAGTCAACAGTACATATCAAGTCTTAAAATTACTTTTAATTGGTAACATTTGATGTAATAAGGTACAATCTGTGACTAAAATGACATAAACACACATATCAACAAAATTCTATAAGCAATGCTCTTACTTACCATATGAAATCTTTCTTGAATTTAAAACATTCTCAGAATAAATCCTAAAATGTCATCTGGTATTCATCAATGTTTTTAAGAACAATGATCTTGAAAACTTATTTTTATAATAGCAGGTATGATATTTTATTAGACAAAGTAATAACCCCTTGAACATTCTTTCCAATACTCCTTAGATTTCTTAATATAGAACAATTGCTTTCTTCCCTTTTTTAATTCAATCATTTATTCTCTGACTCATTTATTTCACCATTACAGTATCATTTTTATGAGGTATGCACGTGTTGTTGTTGTTGTTATGTGCCATCGAGTCATTTCCGACTCATAGCGACCCTATGCACAACAGCCCTAAACCCTGTTCTCTCTTGCGCCAACCGCACTGCCTCTGACACACCCATCCCGATTACCCCAGTCACTGAATCAATCCATCTCATACAGGGTCTTCCCCTCCTGCGTTGTCCCTCAACCCTCTGAAGCATGATGTCCCTCTCCAAGGACCCATCCCTCCTGGCAACATGTCCAAAGTATGTCAGACGAAGCCCCAGAATCCTTGCCTCCAAGGAGTAGCTTGGTTTTATCCTCTCCAAGATAAATCTGTTTGTTTTCCTGGCAGTCCAGGGTACATTCAGTACCCTTCTCCAGCACCACAGCTCAAAAGCATCCACTCTCCTTCTGTCCTCCCTAGTCATTGTCCAACTCTCTGATGCATAACAAGCGATTGCAAATACCATGGCCTGTATCAGACGCACCTTAGTCTCCAGAGAGACACTGTTGCTCCTGAGTACCTTAGAGAGGTCCCTAACAGCAGACTTTCCAATCGTGATACGCTTTTTGATTTCCTGACTGCTGGTGCCAAGAGTGTTGACTGTGGAGCCGAGCAAACTGAAGCTGTGAACACTCTCAATCTCTTCATCATCCATCCTGATGCTGCCAGTTGGTCCAGTGGTGAGAATCTTTGTCTTCTTGACATTGAGCCTCAGTCCATACTGAAGGCTGTAGTCCTTAACCCTTCGCAGCAAGTGCATGAGGTCCTCCTCAGTTTCAGCAAGCAGGGTTGTGTCATCTGCATAACGGAGATTGTTAATAGACCTTCCACCAATCCTGATGCCACAATTCTCCTCATAGAGCCCAGCCTCTCGGATAATCTGCTCTGCATACATGTTGAAAAGGTATGGAGACAGGATGTTTGACTGGAATCTTGAGATTCGGACTCAGCATTATCATGAGATTGGCCTTAATGGGTAAAGAAAGCCTTTACCCATGGCTTTGTTTGTGGCAACTTTTTTCTGGACATTGGAAATTAGTAGCCAGAATGCATAATTAATTTTCTTCTGAAGAAAAATTACCAATTTTTAACTTTTATGTAAGTGACTAACAAACTTTATAACCTATTGACTTAAAACACCTCATAACTTCCTCAGCAAACTCTGTTGTCTCCACTTTAATCTCATATGCAGTCTGTTTGCATTTGCCTGGAATAAATGCCTTTTTGGTGTCTCTCTTTTATCTCTCAAAAGTCAAGTCAAATGTACCTAATGTTAAAAAAAAAAGTCATTGCTGTCCTGTTTTCAATTATGAGTTCTCTTAGCAGTAATTTACTTTGTTGTTGTTATTGTTGTTTTTATTATGTGCCATCAAGTCATCAGCGATTCATAGTAACTCTTTATGTACAACAACCCTAAACCGTATTCTGTCCTGTGCCAGTCTTCTATCTGGCACACCTATCCCTATTACCCCAGTCACTGAATCAATCCATCTCATTGAGGGTTTTCCTCTCTTGGGCTGTCCCTCCACCCTCCCCATGCATGACATCCCTCTCCAAGGACTAATCCCTCCTTGCAACATGTCCTAAGTATGTCAGACAGAGCTTCAGAATCCTTGCCTCCTAGGAGCAGCCTGGTCTTACCCTCTCTAGAACAAACCTGTTCGTTTTCTTAGCAGTCCATGGTATATCCAGTACTCTTCTCCAGCACCACAGCTCAAAGGCATCAATTCTCCTTCTATCATCCCTAGTCATTTTCCAGCTTTCTGGTGCATAGAAAGTAATTGCCAACACAGTTGCCTAGATCAGGTGCACCTTGGTCTCCAGACTGATGTCGGTGCTCTTTTGTATTTTGATGAGGTCTCTGACAGCATACTTTCCCAGTGCAATTCGTCTTTTTGTTTCCTGGCTGCTGATACCAAGAATGTTGATTGTAGAGTCAAACAATCTAAAGCTGTTCACAATCTCAGTCTCTTCACCATCTATCATGCTGCTGCCAGGTGACCCAGTGATGAGAATCTTTGTTTTCTTGGTGTTGAGCTTCAATCCATATTGAAGGCTTCAGTCCTTGACTTTCTGCAACAGATGCTTCAGATCCTTCTCAGTTTCACATATTTGTGACAAGTATTGTGATAAAAAAATACTATTGCCTGTCATATGATTGATTGGATGATTGAAGAAGAGTGTTAAACCTTGAACATAACATGGACCACCAAGAAAACAAATAGGTCTGTCTTGGAGAGGGTGAAACCAAGTTTCTGTTTGGAGGCTAGGATTTTGAAGCTCCGTTTCACATATTTGGGGCACGTGGCCAGGAGGGACTAATCCTTGAAGGATATTATGCATGGAAGAATGGAGGGACAGTGCAGGAGAGAAAGACCCTGGATGAGATGGATTGATATAGTAACTGAGACAATAGGGTAGGTGTATTGGAATCATTGAGACTGGCTCAGAACAGGGCAGGCTTCAGAGCTGTTGTACACAGGGTCACTATGTGACTCACAGGTGACTCAGTGGCACGTAACAACATCACATGATTGATGCCTAGTAAATGTTAATTTTTAACTCCTTTATTATAAGGCCACACTTTAAGAAGTACAGGCAACTGAGTAAGTCTTCAGAAAAGAGAGTAGGATGCTAGCAGTAAAATGTCAGAGTTTTGTCCTTTACTGCACTTACTGAAACAGTCCATACAGCAGTTCATAAAGCTAAGTGGCAGTGTGATCTCCCCCACCTTACCACCCAGATTCTACCTCAGATGCAAAGAGACAATGGTCACATCAGACAGCTGTTCTGACTTAAATTCCTTATTTTCAACAGGAACTAATTTTTTTAAAAATTTTATTTTATTCATTTAAATGAACATTTACAGAGATTTTGGATTTTCATTCATTCATTGTTGCACTTTTTTCTTTACCCCCAGGAACTAATATTTTTTATAACACCTTCGTAGACGTAGATTTCAGAAGTTTGTAGGGGATATACAGTTACAGGAGTGATGATAGTCACAAACCCACATTTATGCATGTCAGACATTTATAGTTCTCACTGTTCAAGTGCAATATACCGTATTTTTTACCCAACAGTAATATATTAGCCTGTTCACCTTAATAACTAAATGAAATTATAAAATACATCTTAACAATGGAGAATGTGGAAGTGTGGAATACCTAAAAGAAGGTGAGCATTATAATTGCCCACCTTTACTGTGTGGAGTTTCCAGGCCGTAGCACAGGGAAGAGGAACCAAAATTGAGCTACGAGATCTCCCCAGTTGAGAAGACAGGGTTGAGAATATAGAAAGGCCATGATAACTCATTGGAGTTGTCAAGGACTTCATTACTCAGAACAACCAGTATCTTTGGAATCAGAAGTCAATCAGATGATGTATTGTGTTGGACCAATTTTCTGCAAAAGTCCTTTATAAACTGTTAAAAGCTAAGGTGTTACTTTGATAACTAAAATGTGTCTGACCTAGCCTATGACCATTTCTTTTTTTTTTTTTTTAATTTTTGTGTGCGTGTACCATCAAATCAGATCTGACTGGTACAGGAGGAGATTGTCCCTCCTTCCCCGGCAGAGCATCTGGTCGATTCGAACCATGCGCCTCTGGGATTGTAGTTGCAGTTCCTTGCCTGTAGTTGCAGTTCCTTGCCGATCATTTCTGTCAACTCATGCACGTGAAAGCTAAACTGTGAAAATGATGTCACATAAAAGTCCATACACTTTAATTTCTTGTTAAAGAATATTGATTATATCATGGACTGCCAGAAGAGTTATCAAATCAATCTTAGAAGAAATATAAAAATGTTCTTAGAAAGGATCGATAACAACACTTCATCTTGTTTAATTTGAATATGCCATCAAGAAAGACCAGTAAGATGAATTTGCACAACAGCCTCAACAATAGGCTCAAATGTATAAACAAATTACGGAACTAGCACAAGACTGAGCAATGTTGCACATAAGGCTACACATACATTTATCACGAGGATAGGTTTTGCAGCATAAATTACAGAAAAGAGCACTCTATAGATCCACCAGGAGTGCCTATCAAGTTATGAGCAAATAATCAGTACATGTGCATGAGGAACTAATAGAAAAGTTAGCATATTTTCATAAATGGCAAGAAATAGTGTGAATTCCTGCCTCTGAAAACAAGATCCAGGGTCAGCTATGAGTTGGTTCCAACTCAATAGCACACAACAACAACCACCAACCAGAATACAGGGGGAAAACCTTGTATTAAAAAACAAAACCAAATTATCCC